ATTTAGGGGTGATTTTTGATGGAACAAAATCACTCTGGGCAACTTTGTCATGTTTCTGCATCTCTCATGGTGAGTCATTTTGGAGCAGGTTGACCCATGATTTATTTGAGAGTAAGCACTGTATGAAATTATGGCATTACACATTAGAAGCTAAAGAAAGTGCAATTATTTAACACTAACTTAAATGGGTTAACTTTTTCGGGGGTTCATTTCTAGTTCAAGATGTGAAATTCTTAACCTAGTAAATTATTTACTTGATTATCAACACTAAAAATAGCAAAATAGATCATGTTAAACGTTTGACCAACAAAAATACAGAAAATTTCGACAAACATAAAAAAGTAATTGTAGGAGAGGTTAAACCTGGATTGAATTATTCTGTAATGATCATAGATTTTTTAAAATCCACTATTTCGTTTAAGTTACCATTAATCTGTTTTGTGAATACAAAATAAATGCGTCTAAGGCAAAGAGAACCATATACCAATTATAATCTGTTCATTGCTTCTGATAATATTAGTGTGATATTGGGAGTAGTTAAGATTCTATGATAGAAGTTTCTTATGCGAAGGGTGACATATTTAAAAGAATAACAAGGATGGAAAACTTAAAATAGAACTCTGCAAGAGGTAGGAATTTAATTTAATAGAGCTTGCACATTAAGAGTTAGAATAGTGAATTGAAAATGAATGCTGATCTTCACTGTGTTGTTTTATGGACACATGAAGGGTCTCTTTTCCCAGGGGACTGGGTCAGTTGTGAGACAGTTTGTCTAATCTGTCTCTAATTACTCTAAGAGCCATTTAAGATGTAAATTAGTTGTTTACCTTTAATATTGGTGGTGTGTGTGTGGGGGGGGGATCCAAATCAGATTCCAGCACTTGTTTCAGAACTTTTTTTTTTTAGAGTTCAGGGAACAAACTAACTAAATAATAGATAACGTCCTCCCAGAAGAGTGAAGTGATTTAGTTTGGTCACTCTGTGTTTTTAATTTTCTTTTCTTAAACTGACCCACTTTTACTCAAAGAAAGAAAGACAAGGGTCTGAGGGGAGGGAGACAAAAACAGTTTTAAAGAAATTCAAAAAACATCCTCTGTAGCTATGACAACAGTCTCTAGAGTGATTTTTTTTGCACTTAAGAAGACTGTTTCAAAAAGAGAACCTGAGAAGCTTTTTAAAAAGTCATGTATAATTTATTTGTATTTTTCTCCTGCTTCGGAGCCTCTTGGAGGTGTGTCTTGTGTTAGATGTGTTCTGAATCTGTCAGACAGTAGAAGATTTGGAGTTGTATTCCCTGCATCTGTTCTCAATTATACTCTCCTAATATACTCTACATCCTGCAGTTACTTACCAGCAGAGTGTTTTCAAAATCTCTACTAGCTTTTGAAATCACAGATTAAAACATGACCAGTGGTGTTGTCGATATAAACCAAATCATTGCATTATTGTAGATTAAAGTTCTTCTACAAGGACGAAAATCCTGAGCTTGGGGAAAATGAAAGAATGTAAATACTCTCCATAGAAATTAGAATTACTCTCCATAGAAAGAGTTAAAAACTGAATAAGAACTGTTAGCTAAGCTTAAAATATTTTACAAAGAGGAATGAGAGGCAAACCGTTATTGATATTTGACAGTGATTAACTTTGTAGAAATGCAGGACACATTTTTAAGACTTTCATGATTAAATGAAACATTTGCAGCAAATGTGTAATTTTTATTGGCCTATTTCCCATACAATTCCAATAAAATATAGTAACCTTTATAGTTGTATTACTGAACTTTTGTATGAAGTTTAGATGAGAAATCATTTAGAATTTGCATTGTAGAAAATGCTTTTTATGTTACATTTACACTTGATAACACATTTTTTTAGCTCTGGCAATTAGCTTGAGCCATAAACATAGCCATATTTAAACTTTTTGGCTCAATATGTCTCATGCAGCACTGAATCATGGTTAAAACACTTTGTTGATGCATATTTAGCCATAGTGTGGATCGAGGACACAGAGGGGTTGGAGAAAAAAGACAAAACTGTAGAAAATGGATATGATACACACTCCAACCCATCAATGAGGACACACAAATGAAGGACGAGGGAGGGAAAGTGCAAGTTTTTGGACACAGCCTTAACAAGCATGATGATGCATTTCAGTACCCAATTATATCTTTACAAGTCTGTTTCTGGGAGTGTGATTTCTTCTGCCATCGTCTGCTGAGGTAAGAGCATCAGTGAAATGGCTTAAAGAGGCTCAACAAGCCAAGTCTGGCTCTGTTCGAAGAACTCGTCATTAACTCAGGAACATTATGGACAACAGAGAGCATCCTCTTCATCAGACAGATCTGGTGCCAAACAGACTGCAACAGAATATCCTTCCTGCCTAGCTATCAGCACCTAAAAAAAACCTCACTTAAAAAACTGTATGAGTTCCTACAATATTTCCCCTTGGGATCAATAAAGTACGAATTGAATTAAATTGGATTTAATCGCCACAGGTAGTCCTGGCATACTTGTTGATCTTATTTTCTTACAATTAGATTATGCCATAATACAGAAAATAAAAATAATAATGATCATTTAGGAAATACTGTTTTATGCAGACTAGCTTAGAAACCTTGTAGTTCAATTGTTTCTCATCATCATTGTAACGTAATCTGCATATGTCAAAGAAAGCTGTGATCAAATAGCTGTTTTTTTTCCTTGAGTCATTATCTTCCTAAATATAACCCCAACTGCTTAAATCTACATAATAGAAAGAATATTAGACACCAACATTTATGCTTCGTTAGGAGAAGCTCTTGACAGATTTTTTTTTATGTAAAATTGATTAACGTGGTCCTTTCTTAACTGGGCAAATTAAATTTATGCCATAAAACTTCTGTTTTTTGGGTTTGGGGAAATAAATTCATAATGTAGTCACTCAGCAACATTTTCTCCAGAACAATATTATTGAAATTAATGATGAAACTGTTTGGATAGATTAATGCTTAATGGATACGAGCAGAATATATATAATTAAAAAATGTGAACTGTTAAATTTACAGTCAATTCAAACTTAACACACTATTGGTTGTATACTAATTCACTCTTTAAAGATATACTTTCACATATTTGGAAGAAGCTCCTCTAAGGTCAGTGAATCCAAAACCTACTCTTATCAGTCATTGTTTTCCCTCAACTAATCTAAATTAAAACAGTGATCATGTAATGTTAATGTACCTAAAGTGACTCCCTCTGAGCCATCATTTAAACATTTCAATTATTAAGAATCTAATGGTCACTTTTAATTCACTTGTCATCGTGTGAGAGAGAGACAGGCACTGCACCTCAGATTTCACTAAAGAGGTCCCAAAAGCAATTTATTCTGAATAGTTTCTGCTAAAGGTCTGTGAGAAGGTCCTCTTCCATCAGTATATGTGTTGTCAGTATAACAGATTTATGAACATTTGTAAAAAGATATTTGGTAACTTTTCTTTGTAACTTTTATGTATTCATTTTTTGTGTTTTTTCATGTTTGTGTCAAACAGCCTACATATCTAAGCTGTGTAGCTCAGAGTAAAACCATCTGAAACATCTCCTCTTTTACAAGGCTGGTTCAGCCAGAAGTGATTTAGTTCAAGGACCCATACGTTTACTTGAGATATTATTGGAATGGCAGCTGCGCTAAACAGTGGGGGAGCCATCATTGGCACCCATATTCAAAATGATTCCTTTGTGTGCATCAAGTAGATCATGATTTACTGACATCACGGCAGGTGATGGGAATTTTTGCCTTTGTAAAGCAGGTTGATGCAATGGTGTTAACAAGTCTGCTGATCCTCTGGAAAAAGTTGCATTTAAATTTTTATAATAAAGATAATCCTACCTACATGTTAATGCACAATTCCAACTATATTAAAAATGTAAAAACAATTGGTAAAAATACATTTAAGCCTTTTTTTTTTACAGAAATAACATGTCACTGCCTACACAGCTATCGACATAATTATTTACTTGACAGTTGTTGACAAATATACTCAAATTTAGGAAGGGCTGCAGATAAGGGTGTCCCCATTTTTGTTGTTGAGCCTCTGCTACAGCCGAGACAATGTCGAAAAATCTAGATTATTGTTAAAAGGAGGATTAGATACCCCAGCTCTACCTATGGAGATGAGCTGATGGTTGCAATTAATGCATCCTGGTCTTCCTGAACCACTTATAAATGATTGCATCCATGCTCTACTGTAGTAATAATGCAAAAGAAGCCAAAACCAAGCACTCGATATCATGTACTGTATTGTATATGAAATTTTTTTTTAGTGATCTATAGTTTTGGATTGTGAATGCACATTAAAGATAAAATATACTGACTAAATATGACACAAATATATTGGTCGTTAGGATTAAAGAAATTAACTGGATCTGAACTTCTTTTTTAATTTTTTTTCCCCTTTTAATTCAATATTAAGTTTTTGCGAAAAAAATTTTTTTTAGTTTTAATTAGCTTTAAGCCACGTCCAAATAAAAATAACTTAAATAAATGCCTAAATTATAACATCTATGTAGTATACAAGTTTGTGCTTCTGAGTAGAATTACAATAATGGATCAATGTTTTCATGATATTCTGATTTATTAAAATTCAACCATGGTTATCAAGAATTAAAAAAATATATATATCTGGAAGCTTGTAAACATGTGACAAGAAGCAAAATGGTACAGCAGTTTATCTTCTAAATTAATGATATGTGACGATAATTAAGGAGGAGATGATTCTTGTAATGGGCCTGTCGCCTCAGCTTCCCCAATTAGGAGCTGTTATGTCAGGTCTTATCTTAATTGCCTTAAATAATTAAGTATTTTCAGAACCACAAGCAACACAGGATGTTGGTGATGAGGCTGCGTGGTGAGGTACAATGTTGAGTGTCTGATAGCACGGTCCTCCAGGAGTCAGAGAGATTCAAGAGAGGTTAAGGAAATAAGAACTTTTATTTTCGCTGTTTTCCTTCAAAGAACAACAACGGCAATTGGAAACATTTTTTTTCTGTATCAAGTTTACAAAAGTGTCAGTAAACATTAAAGTGCAAAGAATTTGATCGCCATTTCTGGCACGTATCATTTAAAGGTTCATGCTACAAGCACTCTGGTCTAGCTTCATGAGAAGAGACCATTTAGTTAACTTTTCTTTTCGTTTACCCTCACTAAGAATTCTGTAAAGACAAAAATGCCGCTGAATTAAAGTTTTCATTCGTGGTCCATGATTTAAAAAAAACAAAACATATTTCATTGATATTTCTGTGATCGATGAAAAATATTGATAACAGAAAGGTAAAAGTAAAAAAAAAAAATAAATAAATGCTATTTGAATAGGCCATAATGTTTTAAATACCCTGTAGCTGTTTGAACAGAGAACATGCACAACATTTATAGTTAAAAGTACAAAAAAAAGGAACAAATATTAAATAATCCAATAGAAGACACTTGTTCAACATAGTTTGTTCAGGATTTGTTTTGTTCCGTGTAGCATGATCGGCCCTTTGCTGGTTTTTATTCTGGTAGTGGACGAGACATTTCTGATACCTGCAAAGTGTGAATTCCTGATTCTAAGTGTCTCAGAGAACACAATAGATTCCCTGTAAGTAGGATATTTCAGTCTATGTTCTGTTATACCTTGGTATATATTTAATTTCAAAACCCATGTATGGGACACCAAGGAAACTGAATAGATTTACAAAGGGGATTGAATAAAACCTCTAATTCTGTTTTGTGTTTTGAAGGAACATAGGCGTCATCTGGAAGCTGAGACTCAAGCTTAGTTTGAATTAATAAGGAATGGCTTCGAAAAGCAACCAATAAAACCTAATTTTCGACTCTTATGGCGTTCCTCTCAAGAGGACTGACCTGTCACAAAAGATTAAACATATGCCATACAGGATGGGGATAAAAGTAAACCAACAGCTTCTGTTTCTCCGTTAATGTAGCTTATGTGTCAGGCATGTGCCCCAGAGGCGAGTCGGCCGGGCCAAGAAGTCTGTACTTCTCCTCCAGAGACGGCTCAGTAGTGCTGCCCTGCAGGTGGATTAGTGGCTTCGTCTGCAGCTGAACACACCCTCTTCCCCGCCCTCGCCTTTCCTCCTGGTTCCTGCGATTGAACAGGTTTATTCTATTGTCCAGCTCAGGGCTGCCCTTTTCTGAGCCAGTGGGGCTAGGAAGCTTAAGGTTGACGGGGTCTACTGCCAAGCCCTTCTGAGCAAGGCAGGAGTCTTCTGAGAGGGAGGATAGCAGCTCCTGCACCACAGCACTGGGGTCCCTGCAGGGGTCCCGCCCTGAGAGGGAAGGAGGGCAACAGCGATGGGAGCTGACGTCCTTAGCGGTGCTGCTGCTGCAGTCTGTCATGGATGAACCTGGGGTGTGGCTGCTCAGACTGAGAGGGCGGACCGTTAGGCTGCCACTGGACTGGGATATGCTGGTGGACACGTCACTTACAGCGCTGCCTACCCGCTCCATGGCAAGCTTCGCATTTGACTGGATGGAGTTGGTACTGTTAGGGAGGTGGACGTCAATGGCTGCCGTAGTGATGACCCGGGCCCCTAGGCCAGGCGCTCCAGTATCTTGAAAATGTTTACAAAAAACAAATATTCAGGTAAAGAAATAACCATATCTGATTAGATTCCCCAGCAGATTATAAAACTTTATAAAAACAATTGGGCAATGAGCTAATATGATTTTTTTCTGAGCTTTGATTTATGTTAAAAACACAAACCTTAATGCGGTTTTTGGGATTATTGTATTTTTTATGTACCGTAAATGACTAACATGGAGCACATCATAATTGTAAGCAGGAAGAAAAATGGTAAACTCTGAAAGGTGTGGCATGCATTTGTATTTAGTAACCCTTACAAGCCATTGTAGTACCACCTTATACCTCTTTTACAGCTGCATGCATTTTTTTGTAGCGCGCCTCTACCACACTCATCTAAAGACACACATTTTTGCGTTTTTACATTTTTCTTTTTAAAGTAATGCATGTTCAGTCAAAAAAGAAAGAAAGTAGGAAGGAATCCTATTTTTTTAATCTTCTCAGCTGTGCAATTGTATTCAGTACTGGACTTTGACTGCAACATTCTCACTAATGAAAACGCTCCGTTTCTAAGATGCCCATGAAGCTGTTTGTTCCCCACTATTCTCAAACACATATCTGTTTTTTACTTAGAATAAATAACACACAACAAATGTATACCAGACTTAAAAAAATGTACTTAGTAAAACATTTTTGAAAATAAGGAATCATAGGAAGAGTGATGTGCTTAAAAATCACTTACCGCTGCTGGCTTCACTGTAATATTGGCTAATGTAGTTGTTCATATCATCACGCACCATGGTATCTGAGTTTTATAAAAAAAAATAAATAAATAAATGAATAAAAAAAGAAAAGGATATTGAGAAAAATAAATGTTACTAAAAGGTGGCAATAATTCCTTCTTTTCCCTTCACCACGTGCTCCTGTAAAAGTTTAAAATGTCGATTAGAGGTATTTATAAAAAGCTATTTTATCAATGTTGTACAGTGAACTGGGAGCTATAGTTTTGATGAAACATTATAAATGCAAAAAATACTTTTTTTACTTATTTTTATTACGATTTCATCAACACTGTGGGTCTATTTCAGTAATCACAACACAAACAAGTCCAAATGGCATTTCTATCTTATGTTTACAACATAATATTGACAGAGTGGATTGTGCCCCGGGCCACAGATGCTACAGACAAGCGGTCGGATCGTGCACATGCTACTACTAGGTACATTAGCTGCACCTTGGTGTGCTATGAATAAACTGGGACACATAGGGTGGGCTGGGGGTTGGAGACCGGGAGCTCTTTGTTCAAGCACTGATCCCTCTAGCCTGGCTGGCCTTTGCATGCGTGGCAAACGGCTGCCATCCGCTGTGCTCTTCTGCTCGCTTGATTGGTCTTGAGCTCACTGTCCGCTGGCTGAGTGCGAAGCCAGAGTACCCTGAGTGCAAGCCCCTGTCCCCTGGGATATGCAGCAGACTCTGATGGATAGTTTCATTTATTTTTCTATCTAAAATATTAATCCCTGAGCCACCCCTGGAGAGGAAGCATTGCAGTCACTAAAACAAGACTGAGACAATCACTCGACAATTAATAAAGCATGAGTCTTTAGAAAAAAAAAAAAAGAATGGGCTATCCAGCATACATAAAAGGCTTTCCTCTTCTATATGTGACACTCAGCTTACTAGGCTGTCATCTGATGATGGGGCCAAAAAAGTGACAGTGCCAGGTCTGCTCAGTTTAAATCTTTACTGTAAATTTAATGGTTAATGCAGAGGCTTTGGTCTAAGGGTGAAGGGAACATATCCTGTTAAATGATGAAAAGAAAGTCTAAATTAGTCAGCTAAATAGATTTAAATATAACTTTATTCAAAATGTCAAACCTGTCTTGTTTTGGAGCCTATAATCTAACAGAAACAATCACATCTTAATATGAATATCATTAAAACCTTTAGTTATTTAATAAACTTTATTCAAAAGCATAACTCAGAACATACAGGATATTTTTTGTGTTTGTGCAAATTAAACTAAAAATGTATTTCTACTAAGTTTAGTCATCATGCCCTCCACCTAATGAAAACCAGAAATTGATTTACATTGGACCTGCTGAGAAGATGTATGTATACCTTACAGTTTATGATATGAAATTTCAAAGCTACAGTATCAATGCAGTTCGGCATGGAGGTTTACGCATTTAGTCTCAATCATTTGAATGAATTGAATCAGTTTTCGTTCTTGTATTACTTTTTTATAATAGTCTAATGAACTTAGGTGTACATTTATAAACTTCTGTGTTTCTTCCAGTCAAATGTGCACTTCTCTCTTTCTTAAGCAATACCACAGCATTTTTTCTGTAGCCAAAACTGGAAAAAGTGACTGAATAATCTTATAAAGGAATTCTTAATTGCCATGATTAATCAATTTCTCAACAGCATTCAGTGTTTAAATGAGATGTTTACATGTGTGATAATAACGTAATCGTTACTACACATTAATATCCAGACTGTCTTTAAATCTACATGGTTTTGTACAATGAACGGCGTGTGACAGCAGCTGCTTCCTTGAGATTCCCTGATGTGTTGCTGGCACCCTGCTGGCCAAACATGCACAGACGTTGAGGTGTACAAATAATTTTAACTGTGTTTGATTTCATCGGACTTGACTTTAGCCCCTGTGGCCTCAGTGCTCATCTCCCCATGTTTCTGCAAAAAGCCTCACTTGTTTCTCTGAATCAGATTTCCTCCTTTGCCCTTGGGGTAAAATTGTGGTCAGTGTGGAGCCTCCCAGGTGCCTGTGGTGGTTTGCAGGTAGGGGACAGCTGCTGACAGGATCCCACTTTCTACAAGCAAATGCCCAAAGCGCAGAGCACTCTGTACCTGAACTGGCCCAAGTGATGTGGCCTGGCTCTGCTGGGCAAGCAGTAATGGGTCAGTGAGACATATGGTGAGGGTGCGATGAAGCCCCTGCAGCAGGACACAGTGTTGGAGAACATGTTTGTTTATTCACCAGGAATCTTCAGATCCTAAAAGCTTTTTTGCCCTCACATTAATCCCAGAGAGCCTGCAGTCAGATGGCTGTTGTGTGTAAGCATGAAGGAGCTTATAGTTTGGCCTGAAAGGTGCCCCAGGGCTGCTGCTCCAGATTAACTGTACACCTCTTCAGCATCCTGCTCACCTTATTTTACCCCATTATGGTCTTTTTGTTTTGAACATTTATGTACATACTTTATGATAAAGCTTTCTAATGGGTTTGTCTTTATATAAAAAAGAGCCAAACCTGTATTTGTCTGCAACTCCCTGGGGTTTCTCTGCCCACCCTCGTCGTCGGACTCCCCGGGTGTCAAACCTTCCACTACCTGGAAGCTTCTGCCTTGTTTGCCCCATGCGTGGTGGATCTGCATAGCTGCCTGACGCTCTGCTGCCAGGTCCAAGTCCTGCTGGGCCAGATGTGCCCGAAGCTGCCGGATCTCAAACTGAAAAGGGTTGGCAAGTGAACAAAGAATTTATTATTTTTTTTTTTTTTTTTTATGCAAGACAGTGTATAGGAATTTATTTCAATTGTTAAAAGATTAAATTTAACAGATTGAGGTGGGGGTGGGGGTTACCATGTCGGTGATGAGAGGCAGAAAATGAGACCAAAAAATAAAAACATACGCAGAATGAGAGGGAAATAGATAATAATAGAAAACAAAAGACAAAAACAAAGGATTTAACCAATATTTCTGGTAGCCTTTGCTTTTCAGTAGGACCTATCTGGGCTCTGAAGGATGCTGATGAAATCTGCTGAAAGTCTCAACTTGTTTGTGATGTACTGCTGCCCTCTGCTGGTGCAAAACCACAGATATCTTAAACGTAACCACCACAATTGGCGCCACCAAGTGTTTCATTTATTTCTGTTTATTCATTGCCTTTTTTGCCTGCTTCTGTTACATACATTATTAAACCTCATTACTAAACACACAAACACCCACAACAGTAAGATCAGAGCTAAATAAAACCCCTGAAATTCTGCTCTTGTTTGTGTTTTTTGTATAATTTGAACTGTTTTGTTATCAAATAACCCATTACTGATTAACACCTAAATCCATTCATCATCCAACATCTGGCAAAAAGGACTTCAAAAAGTAAAATATGAAAACAGCATCCAAATCAAACCTTTTTTAAATAATGCGTCCAAATGTTTATTTGTAAATAAAAAATGTTTTAGCAAATTTCTTAAACACTAAAAATGTGTATTTTGTTCTAGGTGAATATTAAGTATTATACCCAAGGTCACCTTATGTACAAAGACTAAAAAGAATCTCCTCCGAAAAGATGGTGTCATTTTAAATGAACAAAAAAATCAGATGCATCAAAATATTAAGATGTTAGAAACTGTACGTATGCCACCATTCCTACCTCCACATAATGTAGATGAAAATAAGCCATGCTTGTCTGACTCTAAATATAATTTTTTTCTGGCAAAAAGCAGATTAACTTTAGTTAAGGCTGTGAGTTAGAAACCAAGCAGCTGTTAATATCTTCAAGTTAAACATTGACTGTGCATACACAGATACTCAAAATTAATTCAGAAGAGGTTTCAGGAACAAAGAGAGGCTGCCTTATCACACACTTTACACATGAACAAAACTACTGTAAACACAAATAAAATCATTTTAATAAAAATGCAGGAAATATCACAGACTATTAAAGATATATTTATACATTTTTTAAATTTGTGGATAATCACTATCTCTGTATGTAGACTATCAAAGCTATAAAATGGCTCTGTAAGCCTTTCCAGATATTTAGATTTACTCTATTTTGTGTAAAACAGTTTTTAAATGACTTTAGATCAGGGCACAATGTGTTCATTGTTTAGATTTTCTATCTAAGCAAATTCAGGATTCTAGACATGTGACACAATTAGTCCTTGATTTGGTGGGTGAAACTGAAAAAAATGTGATCAATTACAGTAAACTTGTTTTTTAACTTTTTTGTAAACCTACTAATATATTTTCGATGGTATATTACAACTTAAGATGGGTTTTGAATAATGAAACAATAAAAAAATCTGAATTAGAATTAAGTTTATTGCCAAGTAGGTTTGAATTTAAAGGGAATTTGACTTGGTGTTGATGGTGCAGACAAATTATATACCCTGGACAGGTCGCCAGTCCATTGCAGTATATATATATACACTATATTGCCAAAAGTATTTGCTCACCCATCCAAATTATTGGAATCAGGTGTTCCAATCACTTCCATGGCCACAGGTGTATAAATTCAAGCACCTAGGCATGCAGACTGTTTTTACAAACATTTGTGAAAGAAGGATTCTGTTTAAACACCACATTGAATTCCAGCGTGGAACTGTGATAGGATGCCACC